AATGAGATGATTATCTGAAACGTGGTGTATTAGCGCTTCATACATTTTGAACAATCTGATCACATATATGGACTTTCGAGGAAGACCAGAAGGTCGATCTATAGGAAGTCTACGTCGATAGGGCAGTATCTTAGTTTGTATAGCTGTTATCCAGCTCAGTATACACTTGGTTTAGTCAGCTGCTTATCCAACAGGATAGATCACATCTGCACCACTGACTCGGAGGAAGATGAAACCAAGGTGCTGACGACAACACTGATACAGAATGGCTACCCACTGAAATTTATCAATAAGTGCAAAAGTTATGTAGCACTGAGAAGTATGCATCGTTCCTTTCCTATGAAAAATATCTACATTTCATTACAATTTAAAGGTGATTCATACGGCTTTATGTGTGGGGAAAAGGCTTAGATCAGCCATCTATAAAACATTCTATGCACCCTAGGTCATAAATAGTTTGACAAGTTCAAATATGTGGTCAGATTGTTCGAAATGTATAAAGCGCTAATACACCACATGTTTCAGATAATCTTCATCTTCTCACTACGCTGCTTAAAGTTATATTAACAATTCACTTTATTCCTACAGTATTAATTTACATGATGAGAGATCATGCGCTAGCAACAAATGTCACTGATTCGAATCCTGCAGATTTTTATTTCATTTTCAATCATCATCACCCAGTATCAGCACAAATCTACCAAACCACTGCTGTCTCAGACAGTTAAGCTGGGAATCTTGAATTATCTACATAGTTTAGTGGTAAGGTCACGAAATTTGCTGCCTATTTGGTGTATGCTCGAATCTCTTTTCAGGTTTACAAGTACTGCTTGCTAATAAATGGCAACGAACATGAAGACCGAGTGAGGAGCTTCCTGGTGGATGACTCTTAGCATTTAACAAGATAGAAGTACATTCATTCAAATGTTAATAAGATGAATGCATACAAACGGAAATGGTTATTGAAAACTGAATTACCGGTTTTAGTCCAGCTGACTCTTGGAGAACATTTAGGACGTTAGTTAGTTGGAGGTATGTTTGACCTAGGCTTCGTGCTTGTTCGCAGCTCTCAGCAAACCGTACCGGTGACCTCAATGACTCGATCACTGAGGTATTCGGGTCGTAATTGACCTACTATAGGACTGGATTAGATGTATTGTTTGGTCACTGGAGTGTAACCAACTTCATGCTACCTACTCCTAAGTCATGGTCGAATTCTATCGATCATTTTTCAATGTGACCACCAAACTAGGCGGCTCACCATCACAAAACACTAAGCCAATCAACAGGAAACCCTGGATCTAGGTTTTGCGCTACCTGGCACTCGTCAGTAAGGCATATCTGTAACCCTGACGGAACTAACGTCTCACCTGAGATTCAAATCTGCCGCAACGAGCCCCTCAACTCAGTGAGCACAGTAGAGAGACTAGTAATTCAAAAAATATGGCTACAATCTGTCCCATAGCTCAACCTTGACCATCATCTATGTGCATAACAATAATATTCCTGTCAAATTAGGAACTAAATTAAAATATGAATAGGGATTTCCTTTATTTTGAAAGGGTTGCAAAGTCTTTACTAATTTTATCCTTGAAATCATAGTAATGTAGATTATACAGTGGCTTAGTATACTGTGTTTGATTTTCAATGTTTAGCAGCAGTCACCTTAAAACGTTCATTCGTAACACGCCAGACTCCTAAGCTGAATAACTGAAACTGATAGTTCTAAAAAAATATCAATGATTTTAAGCGTAAATATATGGATATGAAACTTAAGAGCTTGAGGAAGAAGTTATCCAAAAGAGTATTATATCCTACCTTAGTTAGCTGGTGAATAACCCCCTGGCGTTTGAAGAGATGTGTGCTGGGTTAGAGTGTCAGTGGGAATATAACCGCTTGCTGTGATCTAGGTGCACTCGGCTGATGAGTCCCAAGTAGGGTGAAACGCGCGTCCTGGATTCCACTGCTAGCCACAACCAAGTAAATTATAAAAAAATGAATGATCAGGCAATAGTAAGGAATCTAAATAGCAACCTATACGCCAACAAAGGTCGGTCAGTTCAATAATAGTAATAATAATGGCCTTATTCTGAAAGCTATTTCGAGAATACTCTACAGAATTCGCAGCACGTCATGTAGCATCAGTTGGATAGAGACAGTATATGTGTATGTGTATATCGAAAAATGAAATAAGTAGAAATTACATAAAGAAAAGTTTAAAATATTCACTCTACAACTTTCTTCAAAATGAACAGTCAATTTAGGTTCATAATATGTAAAAAAGTAATACGCTCATCTTCAGTTAGTTTGCTTTCAGAAACAGAAATTAATTAGTTAGTTCATTCCTAATACTTTCTTCATTACACAGCACACGAGCTAAATACAGTATTGTAGGATTTTTTATATTTTGTAGTACGTGCATAGAGTATTATGTACTTGCCCCTCGTCTTTTCAGATGACTGACATGCAGGGAGCTTTGAGTGAAGAGGACGTTGATCATCTGACAAAATAACTCCTCCCAGATGTTTACATGAGTTAATATGTTTGTCCACAACAGTTTTAACTAAAAGGTTAAGCGGTACAACACTAGTTCTGCTGACAATATTAAAAGCTCTACGTAATATAGCTTCGTCTTTTTTCGGCATCCCAGAAAAAAATAAAGGGGAGCAATAGAGGAGAACAGACAAGATGCAGGAGTTTATAAAACATAAGAGGTGAGGCTGAGTAATACCAGATACTCTCAGCTTCCTAATATAAAAAGTTAGGCGGAACATTCTTTTGGAAATTAGTGAGATATGCGAAGACCAGGAAGGGTCCGGAGAAAAACACACACCAAGATAGGTCACATCCGTAAAATTCTCTAATGCGCAACTATGAATAGAACAGTAATCATGAGAACTAAGCAGTTTACAAAAGTTATATTCACGTCTAAAACTAAATTTTGTTTTGACATTTTGAAGAATTAAGCACAAGACCATTTTCGCAGGACCATCGTCTAACAGTAGATTGGGAATCATTCAGGTGGGAACAATCTTCTGAAGAGGAGATAGGTATGGAAACTGTTAAGTCATTAGCGTATTTAATGAAATTTATACCAGCTGAAGATGGTAGGTCATGCAGGAAGAATAAGCAAAGACATGGGGGAAAGGATGGCTCTTTGGGGAACTCCAGCCACAGTAAGCAATGAGGTGGAGCGCTTCCCTCTCTGAACAGTATATTGTTTCCTATCAGAGAAGTGGGAATGTAGCCAGCTGATTATCCAAGACTCAGTACTTGTCACGGTTAGCTTGTCCACCGAAAGAGGTCTTGGGACAGAGTATAGCAACGTGGAATTACAAGTATCAATAAATAAGAATATTATTTGTCCATCAGACTGTCTTCTGTAAAGAAATCTCCTTACTACTTTGTAACAAGAAGTATAACAACTATGCCCAGTATTTCATTTCACTTCAATCATCAAGGGTTTTACTTGACCGCTATGTGAATTCCTGACGCACTGCTGTCGTTTGGTCGTACTCACACTGGTTACCCAGGTAGGACTTTCATTCTAATTTAAATCAACTTGAATTAGAGAGGGGGAGCACCATACTGATTATCAGTTTGACTAACTGAGAAAGTCATGTTTTGGCAGACTTTTATTGATACTGAAAGATAGCTGGAGGTGAAATGAAAATCTGAACCGCCTCAGGATCCGAACCAGCAACCCCCGGGCTACCGGCCTCGTGCACTACTAAGTGAGCTGTAAGACCCGGCTGCTGACTACATCTGGATTATCTCAATAAATTTCCTACATAAAAAGACAAAATGAAGATAAAGTTAGGTGGTTTTCATTAATAACTGTAACCAGTTAAAATTCACCTTAACACAAGGCTGAACATGCCATCTATTTCACTATGGTGGACAGACACTAGACTGGTCCCCACTGAGTACAATCTCCATCTCCGATAGTAATTTTCATCAAGACAGGTGAAAGAAAGTCTTATCACCAATCTTACAGGAGTTTAAGGGTGAACAGTGCACACCAATCGCAAAGTATAATCTTAACAAATACATCAATCTATTTTGTTCCTAGTATCTCCTCAAAGAAAATTCATTTCTTAATGATAAACTGTCTCTAAACACTCAATTACTATCAGCTTTAGATAGATTCTGAATTCACTGGATTACTCTAAAACATTTTTAAACAATAAATCAATAATTTAGTCATAACTTTGTCATACTATTTATATAGCTACTAAATGACATTGAATTTATTTAGCCTTGAGCAGTTTGACACGTGACCCATATAACAACAATATTGTATCATTTTGTTTCAATCTTTTCCTAAATGATGTCTACTTTGCTTGTTAAAGCTTCAGTTTTCCTTTCTTGCTAGTCTTTTTGCCCTGTTTATTATTCTAGTATTGTGTTTTAGTTATTTTTTTTTTAAAGAATTGTTTCAAAAGTCTGCCTCAAAAGAATAATAACTTTTCCACTTAATTTAATGTAAGCGTGTTACTTCGTCGCTTTATCTTTGTTCAAGAATAGGTATTTTCGAAGTATGACAGAGTTGCATTTATAGTATTAATGACGACGATATTGGTGTTGGTGATAATGATGGTAGCGGCCTTAATGACCTTGCTACTATAGTTATCGACGAACACATACAAGGACACAAAAAAAGACGATTCAAACAAATTTTACCAATATTCAAGTTAACTGACTTATAAGCCTAAATGTCTGTATGCATAGACTTGATGGGAAAATATAATTAATCTTCAGGTGTTAAACTTGGTTTTTCTACTTATAGATATGCTCCTCAGTCATTCTCTGCTTTATTGATCTGACTACAGATAGGTAGTGTCTAACACGTTCATTTATTCTGATTACGGTGATTACGATTACTATTATTATTGACTACAAAATACGCGTACAAATGTATAGGCATAGGCGTAAATATGAATATCTGTAGGAGAAGTAAATCTATAAATATTTACAAGCTAACAAAGCTGTTTATTTAATTACCATATAGCAAGTTTCTTGACAGATTTGATTAATCTTTTTTTTAAAGTATGAATGTGAATATTTATGTTTGTGTAAGTAAGTAGTAGGATTACCAATAAGAGTGTTTTTTGCTTTCCATAGAACCATTCGTCAAATGTAGCAATTAACCTTTTCTTAAAAATCGTCACATGTTGGAATGTCTCCCGACTGTTCTTCATTGACTGCCTTATCAAAACTAGCCTTCTATTTTCATTCACTAATGGTACCAAGAAAAAGGAAAATAAGTTGAACAAAAAGCCAAATCTTTTAATTACAAATAAATAAGTAAATAAAAGCCTCATTTCAGCATTTTCAGTAACCTGTAGAATTCGGTGATCTGACGGTGATTAAAGTGTAAACATGACTAACATCAAACGTTTCTATTGATTGAATAACCGCTATTGTTTCGGATACTTCTGAAACTCCCCACTAATACGTACATATTATCACTGACTGCCTCTATCTTGAAACTAATCTCTGAACATAACCTCTATGCAATCCACTATTAGGGAATAACATTTTGATGTCACCTTTTAAGGTGAGTCTAAACGCCAATCTAGCAACTAGTTAGATAACTAGTTTGATTTTTTTTATTTCATGAAGACTAACTTTGTCGGGCGAAACAGAGAAACCTGTTTGATTATTTCAGTGGTTGCCAAGGTGGCCTTTAAAATCACTCTACATTTATTCTAAACTATTCAGTCGTCTGCTGAAATCATCTCGCTAAGGACTTGAAACGCATATATCCGGACTAAACAGTTGTGTTGAAATTTACTTGATGATGGCTAGAAGTGCAATTCAGAATGCGCACTTCGTCCGATTTGGGACTCGTTAGCCGGATATATCTCCATTACTGTGAGTGATACTTTTTCTATTGAGACTAGGACCCCGTATACACCACTTCAAACGCCATAGCGTTTCACACTAGGTCGCTAAGGCACAGCAGACACCTATTGCGCAATGGGTTTTAGTTAGCATTATTTGTTTATACTTTTAATTGCAAGTATGATGAGATTTCCAAAGTTCTAGTAAAAAGTCTGAACCGGTACACCAAACCAAGTAGAACATGAGGACGCACTCAACAACAGCACTGAATAAAGGCCATAATATATAGCGAGCTGGCAGAAGTAAGAAATGTGGACCACTGGATACCAGGCCAGTGATTTAATGGTAACGTGCTGACCACAGGACCTGAAGGTTTTGGGCTCCACCCCTGGTGGGGTCAAAGGTATGCTAAGGAATCCTATACAGGGACGAAATAGCTATCCGGTATTACCAGGTTTCTAAATGTCCTCAAACTGATGTCACTCCATCAAGAATACCAACTTGATTCCCTCACAGTTAGTTTTCTGCTCACCTATGCGTAAGACTTTCTAAATTGGGCTACATATTATCTTCAGGCTTTAGAAGTTCAGTTAAATTAAACATGGTTAACGTTCCCGCTCAAATCAAATCCTTTGTATGCATCTCGAATCAACCAACTTACCCCCGGATAATCTAAGTTTGTTTATATATATATATATATATATATATATATATATATATATATATATATATATATATATATATATACATATATATACTCGATACTCTTCAGCTGCATGTGTTGGTCTCACTGGGAGCAGTTGATGAGTCCTAAGTGAGATGAGCTGAACATCGTGGATTTCATTGAACAGAAAGGCACAACAACACAAGTAATAACCTCTCTCTTTTTTATACGTTCAAATCTAACCTCAATGATATTTCATTTCACCCTACCCCAGATACTAAATGCATTATTTCATGTACTTCTTTCAACCTTTGTGCAATTCAGGAGATACATACATGTCATTGTACCATACTATACGCTACATTTATTTGTACTACGGTTTATTCACGTGAGTTTGTTTGTATTATAACCAGCGCACCATAACTATTAACCTACTCAGTCCAATTGTCTTCCGTGCTCAAAAAGGTGAATTCATCAGCACAAAGGTATCATAGTGAATATATCCATTTATATCGAACCAGATTCCTATTCAGATGAATTTGTTAAACACTTGGTGCCAACTGATAGAAAGCCCTGAATTTCGCACTTCTTACATCTCATCAGTACGGATAATCTGTGTCACTCAGTGCCTAATTTGGGGATCTTACCGTACGCCAACATTAAACCCCTATAACAAATATGCTTTATCTCGAAATTTCTTTCTAAACCTATTGGTCAGTAATGATTAACGGATACGATTTCTTTTCACTATATAACTAGTTCATAGCTGATTTATGCAGGTCTCATACGTACACTTAAGGACCAAGAACTCCTCCTTTTCCTCTAGTTGTTGTTGTATACATAATAGACCTGGAGTGACAAAACAAGCCAAAAAGTCGATGCAAGCGAAGAATGATGATGCAATTCCATTCTAATTCAATTCGGAGGTTTGTGGGGATTTATTTACTAATTTCAGGTTGGTATTCATCACGGACTGATATCAGCTGGAGAAACATTGGAAACTCGGCAGCACCGTACAGCTGTTTAGCCCTATAACAGGACTCCTCAGCAATGTGCATCCATGACCCCGCTATGCATTGAACCTAGGACCTACAGGTCCCTCATCCAATGCCGTCGCTGAGTACTTGTTCTCAATCCCTACTTGGGTGAAGTCAAAGGTCACGACTTCTCATCAGAACTTTGGTAATCACATTTCGAAGTAAGCCACCAATGAGCACTAGATCAATTCAATCTCGACTTGCTGACCGCGAAACCTGAAGGTCCTGGGTTCGATCCCTGGCGGAGTCATGGGTGCTTGGTGTTTAGGAGTCCCATACTGACACCCAGACTCGAATCAAAGACCTTACTTTTATCGAATCAATGTTCTACATAAACACTAGTCATAAGAGAGAGAATTTGAAAAAGAACTTCAACTACCCCGCATTACTGTCTGTCCAAAAAACATACATCAAATAGAGCAGAATAAATAATCTAATTATTTAGGTACCATCTTATTTTGTTCCTGGCATGAAAGTTTTACTATATTTGGCATATATGTATATCACTGTATTTGGGAGGGTGAAGGGTTAAAAAGTAAATTCAACAACCTAATCATATTTTATTATAACATGGAAATAATTTTTTCTTATTTTTAAATTTTAAGTCACCACTGAATAAGAACGAATACCGTATATTGGACAAAAATAAAATTCAACTAATCGATAACAGGAAGTTTATTGTATCAAAAAACACTACGTATATGTGTTAGTTATGAATTAAGCAAATATTATAAATAATCATTGCAAAGGTTCAAATAATTGTGATATAACACACATAACCCTATTATATTCTTTGATAATACTTCAACCTGATGAATTATTTATCAGTAATTGAACGAGGAGCATACTTTGATGATAATGACGAAAAGAGACTAGCACTCATGTTTCGCTTCATTTGGGACTCGTCAGTTGGATATGTCTGTCTTACTGAGTGGCCTAGCGGATAATGTTGTTAGTGGGAAAAATATAGCTCACTGAGGTACATCCACCTGATGAGTCCCAGATAGGACGAAAGATGTGTCCTGGATTCCACTGCTAACCATTATTTATCATTATTATCAGAATGAAACCAGTGGCAATATCAAGGCATCTGCATAGGAGTCCATATATCAATAGTTACCGATCAGGTTGGTCAAATGAAACAATGGGAGATTACCAGGAATAAAATGAAGGACACCAGTGATTTACTGAACGGTCTCGCTGTTATCAAGGTGTTTAAACTAATTTACTAAACAAGTTGTGCTGTTTATTCGTTAGATAAACCTCGGTGAATGTAAGAATTGAGGGTTTTGGACTCGATCTCTTGCTGAGATGGTGTGCATTACCGAGGAGTCCCATACTAGGACGAAATAACTGTTCAGTACTTCTTGGTTTTCATTGATTTTCTATTTGACGTAAATCCATAATGACAACTTTGAAATGCTTCTACTTATGACAACAGGAGTGGAGATTTAAAGACACTTTTGATATCAGCCAAGCAGCTTCATTTTGCGACTCCACTAGTGAGCACCCATAATTCTATATACCGTCAAGTCCAGTCTGGTAACTAAGTATCTTCCACACAATGGGATGAATAAGTAAACAGTTACTCATCCCTTTCTAATGCAGTTATTTTTCCAATCAAAATGCGTAGGCCTCTCTCAGAAGCTAGGAGTTATGACAATGAACGAATGATTACGTATCACTGATTCATTTAACAATTAGGAGGAATTTCTAATTATTGAAATGAAACTTAAGCCTCGTTGATATTTGAATACGTAGGGTACTCAGACAGACATCGAAATACTCCTTTCATCTTTAGTTTCCATTCCCTTATATATATTTCTAAAAGTTGATTAATTACTAAATATAACAAACGAGTATATAAACCTGAGGTGCCTCAACATTTAAAAGAATACAACAGTTCCATTAAAAAGTTATTTATTCAAACAAAAAATGCATAGTATAATTGTTGATGAATAGGATGAAATGCGCATCCTGGATTCCACTGCTAACCACTATCTATCATTACTATAAAAAACAACATATGTTCTGATCATTATCACTGGTCATTTATCATAATTACATTGAACAAGCATTTATGGTACATAGTTTGTTTACTTCGTTTTGACAGGTATGGATATTTAATTATCAACCTTCAAAAAAATTCATGCAGCCATACACACAGCCGGGTATGTATATAGGTGTACAGTTTGTTGCACTATAGACCAGCATTGCTCAGTTAACCATTCGTCATACATGGTAGAAATCTTCATCATGACGTAGACAAAATACAACTGAAGTACTCATAGTGTTGTATTTAAAAATGATGGAGAATATTTGTATATCAAGGTGTAGTTATTCACATTCAGTCGGGTTCGAGTTGGCAAATCTTTCACTTCCATGCTAGACTTCGTTATTGCAGTTTCAAGGCAAGTGTGACAAAAATCAACACTTCTGCTTGAAGATCACAGGAAACTTCAGTGATAACAAGATTTCAAATAGATTCCTTTTCTACATTAGTAACATCACCATCTACTTACAGTGTTGTCTTTTGTTCAAAAGTTTCTAATTAAGATACATATGTCACTTGTGATTTACCATGATTAGTACACTAACCTCTGAAATAACAAACCCAGTTGTATTGATCAATGATTTCAGTCTCCAAGCATTTGTTTTCTAGTCCAGTTCTAAGTTTCGAGACGGATGCTTAAAGCTATCACGAGAAGCTGTTTACGTTAGGATGCTTCAGTGCTGTTCACTGATAGTCACTAAATTACATCCATGGAAAATATTA